CATAGTGACGTAGACATGTGGGGGCGTGTTTAAACTAGGCGTTTTAGGAGGGCATGGACAAGTCTTAACTTTTATAAAGAATATCTCTTTGGGTTTCAGTCTTTGCAACTTTAGGGATCTTATCTATTCACGAACAGCTTTGTAACACTCCAAAGAGAAAGGAAAGCTTGAAATCGCATCATATGACCCTTTAACACACAACAGTGAACACAGCGCAAGTCTTGATGGCCATGTCCATGAACAAATGACTATTGTGAACCAGCCGATATCAAACAACCTCAAACCTGCTCGTGAGTTAGAGATTTGAATCAGACTCCTTCCATCAGTGAGTCGTTACTGAGTTCACAACTGACTCCCTCACTGAACCATGTGGCATTTTTGAAATGATCCAGGAACTGTGATGTGGATTGTAGACTTAAATCAATCTGTTTATTAGTATATGACAGTTGTTGACTTTTTTTGGCTTCTTTATTGAGTGATTCTGTAATTTGTCATCTAGAAAACTGAACATACAGTGTACATTTAAGTGGCTGCATAATCTTGAAAACTAGAGACCTGTTGCTGTAATGTGTATTAACACAAACCATGTGTGGATACAAATCTGCTGTATGTCGTTCCAACCATCCAGCTGATTTATACCATCCTCTTTCAAAGGTCGCCTCGGATTCACCCATACAGGAGGAGACAGCCCCTTGCCCATAAATGGTACGCGCATGCATTTTATTGGTTTAATGTGCTAGTGGCTCAAGCAGAAGGGTGGCTGAACAGGCCCAACAATCTATGTGTTGAAATAGTCAGTAAGATGAACTTTTGGGGCACTTTGTCTCACTGGTTCCTTTTAGCTGTAACATTCTGTTTAAATGGATTTGAAACATGAGGTAAAGCAAACATATAAATCTATCAAATTAAGAGAAATGTAGGATATTAGTAAAGTTAATGTTTAGTTATGTCATCATATAGGTATAATCTTGTACTGTTGTAACAAAAAAAAAACAGATTCTGAGTCAAAGGGTGATGAAATAAAACTGGCCCTGTTTTCATAGCTTGTTTCAAATCATTCAGTGGTTTGAAAAGTAAGAACATGTTCACTTACTCAAATAGGGCTAGCTAAAAATATATATATTAAAATATTTTGCTATTATTTTTAGCCCTGATGATAACTGATATCTTGAGAATTATTTATTTATTTTTTGTAATATGTGACCCTGGACCACAAAACCAGTCTTAAGTCACTTAAGTCATTTTTAGCAATAGCCAAAAAAACATTGTATTGGTCAAAACTATCGATTTTTCTTTTATGCCAAAAATCATTAGGATATGAAGTAAAGATCATGTTCAATGAAGATATTTTGTAAATTTCCTACCATAAATATATCAAAACTTAATTTTTGATTAGTAATATGCATTGCTAAGAACTTCATTTGGACAACTTTAAAGTCGATTTTTCTCAGTATTTAGATTTTTTTGTACCCTCAGATTCCAGATTTTCAAATAGTTGTATCTCGGCCAAATATTGTCCTATCCTAACAAACCATACATCAATGGAAAGCTTATTTATTCTTTATTTATTCTTATGTATAAATCTCAATTTCAAAAAATTTAACCTTATGTAGGGCTGCACACTCGAATTTCTAATCGCGATTACAATTATGAATGCCACAATTACGTAATCGTTCAAAGCGGCAATTTAATCGTTCAAAGTCCACTTATGTTATTCTGCGTGCTTAAGATGCATTTTTTTCTTTCTACATGTTATCTTAAAGGGGTCATATGATGTTGCTAAAAAGAACATTATTTTGTGTATTTGGTGTAATGAAATGTGTTTATGCGGTTTAAGGTAAAAAAAAAACACATTATTTTCCACATACTGTACATTATTGTTTCTCCTCTATGCCCCGCCTTTCTGAAACGCGTCGATTTTTACAAAACTCATCGGTCTGAAAAACTTATCTTAAGGGTTTTTCCCATTATTTTAATTTTAGTTTTAGTATGACATTATAATACCATTCATATTTTTACTTTTTTTATAATTTAAAGAAGAAACCAATCCGATGTATATTTGACATCTGAGGCTTAATACTATAGACAAGTTTTTTCAGTTAGAGTGTTTTCAGCTTGTTTATTTTCATATAAAAATGCGGCATGCAGTTGCATCAAACAATGGTATAAACATCATTCAATGTAAATTGTGATAATTGTAATTACAATTTCAAGGGAATAATCGACAATTATGATTTTTGTCATAATCGTGCAGCCCTACCCTTATGACTTGAATTGTTTAATGTATGAAGTAAAATGCAGATAAAATGTAAATAAATAATCAAGGCATGTTTTCCAAGCTTTCTTTTTCTCTTAATGAAACTAAAGGTTGAATATTGTTTAAATATTATCTTATTTTCATGTACCAATATAACGTGTATATTATATAGTAATAAACAGCACTTTTTATCTTCAAAATAGGGTATTTCTACAGAAACATAAAATGCCACACTGAGTTTTGTTTAATTTAAACGGATAGCTTGAACGGTTTCATTCGCCAAATTTAGCAGCATTTTTTTCCTCCTTGTGTTTAAATCAGAAATACTATTACACATGCTAATGATTACTTTTTATCATTATAGCAGTGAAAAATATATTTAGTTTGTATAGTTTGTGAGGTATCATGTTTCCAGTGAGTAGACATTTGATAATCGGCAAGGGTTGTTAATGAATGTGCTCAGAATTAAAACACGTTTGGACAGGTAGGTTGAATCACACAAGAAAATAATTAAAATACATTCTGACAATCTTCTCTGAGTCGATGAGCCAAGAAACTCAGTTTAGTTGCACAGTTTAGTTTGAGCCTTGTTAAAATTGTTTGAGCACTTGGTCGACAAACCCAGGTAATTGACTTCTTGCAAGATTTTAATTATAATCATACGGCTCTGAAATGCCACATACTTTCAACACATTTGTTTAAAATGTAAAATTGCAGTCAGGTTTGGCAGAAAAAGCTTAGTTCCACTATTCATTTATATAGTTAAGTCAGAGAATTCACATTTTCATTGGGGATGTGTTACTTTACTTGTGATCGTCTTATTTTACATGCAGCAAGGAATTATGGGAGGCGACGAGGTAAAGAAAACTTCTAACAAATCCAAATGAGAAAAATGAAAGACTTTCAAACTATCATAATGATGGGTAGAATAATCCAGCATCTGCATGATATGTTTTGGGGCATTGTTAATTGTTTGCATGTACTCAAGCAGCCTTCATTTCCATTTGTGTATCGATTGTGTGCCTCTTTCCTGCTGTACTCCAGAGATTTTAATTTTTTTTATTTTTGGTGAAGAGTGAATTTGATTGGGGCTTATCTGTGGTTAGGGCAACCATACACACACACACACACATACACACACACACACACACACACACACACACACCCAGGCCACAGTTGTGACTAACTCCCTTACATAAAGTCTTGTAAAGCAGCTCAGGCCTGTGTTCTGTCACGTCAGGAGGAAATTTGCTGGAGTGGCTTGAGCCAGAGAACTAATACTATATCCGCCAGTCCTCGCCCTATGTTATTACTGAAGCTTTAGTGCGGAGCTACATGGCCATGTGCTGGACATTAACACTTACATTAACGGATATTTTGACAAAATATTCTCTTATATAACCTAATTGTAGAAATTAGTTTTATAGGCCCAGATGCGAAGGAGAGTGCCTAAAACCCCATTAAACCCCACAAAACGTCAGTTTTCACAAAAATATTAAGCAGCCCGGCTGTTTTCAGCATTGAATAATAATCAGAAATGTTTTTAGAGCACAAAAATCAGCATATTAGAATGATTTCTGAAGGATAATGTGACACTGAAGACTAGAGTAATGATGCTGAAAATTCAGATTTGAATCAATCAATTGAATCAATTTGAATAAATAACATTAAAACATTAACAGTATTAAAATAGAAAAGTTACTTTAAATTGTAGTCATTTTTCACATTACAGTTTTTACTGAATTTTTTGATCAAATACATGCAGCCTTGGTGAGCATAAGAGATTTCTTTCAAAAACCCGAACATTTGAGCGTTTAACACAACTCTCTGTATAGAATATAAATATGACCTGCTTTATCATTGGACCAAAACTGTGGGCTATAATTTGTTTTATACCACAGAAGTCGTAATTCAGAAATCCCTATGCTTTCAAAATTGCACAACCCAAGATAATGCAATTGTCTGTCTTAGTATTTCTTGGGCTCTGAAAAATCCGTCAGTGTAATTGATTTCACTCTGTGGTGTAGGAATGTAGCTTAAACACTGAGAAAGGCACAGATAATAATTCCTGCCTTCTCCCCCTTCTTCAGGACACTCATCCCTGTTCCCGATGGAAGATGGCTTCGCAGACGAGGAGAGAGGCGATCAGAGCCTGCCTGGCCTTGGTTCCTCCCACTGCTTCCCTCACCAGAACGGAGAGAGGGTGGAGCGCTATTCTCGCAAAGTCTTTGTGGGTGGCCTCCCCCCTGATATAGACGAAGGTATTACACACATTTAGGGTGACCTCTGCACTGCTGCTTATAAAAACAAAACCAGGTTTCAAGGTTCATTGTTGGCTTTGGAACTGTTTCCACGATAGCTACTTACTCTTATCTGAAATATTATCTTGCCTAGATGAGATAACAGCTAGTTTTCGCCGCTTCGGGCACCTGTTTGTGGACTGGCCTCACAAAGCAGAGAGCAAGTCATACTTCCCCCCGAAAGGTGAGCTAAGAGTTTAGAGTATTAGTTGAAGGACATTTTTAAACAGTAATTTTCATAATAGGCACATACTAATATTTTAATTGTGGCTGGCTTGATCACCATGACAACACTTGAGTACTCAATTAAAGGGATAGTTCACCCAAAAATGACAATTCCGTCATCATTTATTCACCCTCATATCATTCCAAACCAATAAGACTTTTGTTCATCTTCAAAAAAAAAAACCAAGTGAAGAAGGAAACCTGAGAGATTTTTCTCTCATTTTGATGTCCGTTCCACTTGTAAAAATACTCCATATGTATCGACCGGTGAAGTCTTCTGATGAGACACCATCACTTTATATCGGTTATGCTTGAACAGTGAATGAATTAGATGTAAATAAAAGCCTAAATTAAATTTGTTCAGCATATAAAACAATCTCTGGCTCTTCAGTAGACTTGGATTGAACCGCTCACTTCATATGTTTTTTCATAGTTTTGTGATGTCTTTGTGAACTTTTTGAAGCTTGAAAGTTTTGGTGGAATGGACTTTCAATGGGACGTAAATCTCTTACGTTTCATTAAATACATTTTTATTTGTGTTTTGAAGATGAATGGAAGTGTTGTGGGTTTGGAATGACTTTAAGGGTGAGCAAATGATTTAAAGAACTTTCATTTTTGGGAGAACTATCCCTTAAAGTTGGTACTGCCGATTAGGTTTAAAGACAGGAGTTGTTTTGGTAATGATGTGCATTTTCTATTTATTATTTTAATGTAAAATGTAGTACTTCTGCCATTCCCACTGCTTACTAACTCTAAAATTCTCTTTTCCAAAGGTTACGCTTTCCTCTTGTTTCAAGATGAGAGCTCTGTTCAAGCCCTTATCGATGCCTGCATCGAGGAGGACGGAAAGCTCTATTTATGTGTTTCCAGCCCCACCATTAAAGACAAACCTGTAAGGATGAATTACAATACTGCACCTCAGTTTTTATAGTGAATTTCTTTTTTTGTCTTAAACAGCTGCATTTTCAAATTAAGCATTAGTTTGTCCTTATTTGTTCTGTGAAGACCTGCTATTGTTTTATTTGTCAGTGAATTTGAAAACTCTGTTGTGGATTATTTTTTCATTTATTGTTGACGTGTGGTTTTGTAACAGGTCCAGATTCGCCCTTGGAATCTTAATGATAGTGATTTTGTGATGGATGGATCACAGCCCCTGGACCCGAGGAAAACCATATTTGTGGGTGGGGTGCCACGCCCACTTCGTGCAGGTATGGAGGTTTTTTTTTTTTTTTAGTTTCTGTGCTACTATTTTAGTGGCTCCCCTAATCACAGAGGATGGAATCTTCCTTGCTGGCAAAACATCTTTTTATTGTACCTTAAAGAGTAGTTATTAGGAGACCAATAAGTAACTTTGTTGTAACATATTAAGAAGCACTGCTCTTTGAGTAACTTTCTGTTAACAGCTTGTAGTATAGCTGCTTGATCGGAAGAGCAGTGAAACTGTAGCTTGCTAATAGTTTGTAGCTTTACAGACTATTTTCAAAGTAGCTTTTCAAGGCAAAACTTCTAAAATATATTGAAAGTTGCCATTTTATTTTAGTATGAAAGGGGTAGAAAGAATGATGCAGTCTAATTTGTATGTTTTTAAACTTTTAAGCATTAAATATGTTGTCTTTCTGACAGTGGAGCTGGCGATGATCATGGACAGGCTGTATGGTGGCGTGTGCTACGCAGGCATCGACACAGACCCAGAGCTGAAGTACCCCAAGGGAGCAGGGCGGGTCGCCTTCTCTAATCAGCAGAGCTACATTGCTGCTATCAGTGCTCGTTTTGTACAACTGCAGCATGGAGAAATCGATAAACGGGTCAGTGCTGACTTCCACAAAACTATGCTCTAACCCTAGTTGTGACATTACAACATGTTTTTTGTTGATGAACAACTGCATGTTTTGCACAGCTTCGGTTACAATTTAAATGCTTTTTTAATGCAGGACTTATAAAAAACAAGAAAGATGGGGTTTTGTAGGCCAAAATGTTCAGGTTATGGTTCTCAATGGTAAAATCCCATGAAACCTGTCAAGCACATGTCATATTGACACAAAAATAAGCTATATTTTGCATTTTGGTGTTATTTTCATGACAATGTTTTCCCCTAATTCTCATATCTATCTATCTATCTATCTGTCTATCTATCTATCCATCTATCCATCTATCTGTCTGTCTGTCTGTCTGTCTATGGTGAAGTATTTATACATTGTGTTAGTATTTGCTGTATTGCCATTTTTAGCAATATCTTTGTTTTTCAGATATTACAAATCAAAATATATGATTGTTCAATCAAAAAGATTTACCCAAACAATACAGAACAAAGCAATAGGACAAAAAGAGGCAAATAGGGGGAAAAACTCACTAGAAAAACTCATTTAATTTAATTTTAATTTTAAAATATTAAATATAATATATTTGCTGTTTTACTTTATAACTGTCAAGACAGTTCATATTGCGAATAATAGGAATTACTGACAACTTATAAAATTCATACTCATAAAAAAATAATGTCAAAATAATGCAAAAAACACACACGTAACAGTCTGCTGATCTTTCTCGGCCCAGGTGGAAGTGAAGCCATACGTCTTGGATGACCAGCTGTGCGATGAATGTCAGGGCACTCGCTGCGGAGGCAAGTTCGCTCCTTTCTTCTGCGCTAACGTGACCTGTCTCCAGTATTACTGTGAATACTGCTGGGCGGCCATCCACTCACGTGCCGGCCGGGAGTTCCACAAGCCTCTGGTCAAGGAAGGCGGCGACAGACCTCGCCACATCTCCTTCCGCTGGAACTAAAGCTGGTAGGCCAGGAGAAGACAGAGAGAAAGAGAGGAGGGGGAGAGCAGGCTAGGAGGAGTCGCAAAATCATCATCTAAATAAATGCACTTTTCTGTTGCTGGTTCCTTTTTAGTTTAATTTAAAAAAGACAGACAAAAAATATGATTTTAATTTGTCATTTAATATATATATATATATTAAAAAAAATGGATGTGTATCCAAAAAAAGATTCAGGAAGAAAAAGAAAATGTCTAATCCATCTCTCTATTTTTTTATAACTCCATTATATTTCATTTTCAAGTGCACAGAGATGTGAATATATTGAGTATTAGTATAATTTGTCAGTAAGTATCTGCATGACTTTAGAATTGGCTTTTTGTTAACATTGCGATTGGAAGTATTACGTCCTATTTTAAATTTAATCGAAAAGGCGAAGGAGCAAACGTGAAAAGAAAAAGTGCGGGAAGAGTGTACTTATTTCTTCGCTACCCATAGTGCAGATGTGTGGTCTAAGATCTCAGTTGTTAACCAAAGCTTGGGATTTGAGAACAGAAGTGAATTCTCTCGACGCTCTGTTTTTACTTTACTTTGTACTTTAAGACCATGCTAATCTTCAATGTTTCTTGATGACAACAACTGATTCCACAACAGTCTGGATTTGATCTCCATTGTGACATGCAAGAAAACTAATACCTCAAGCTTAGCTGCTAGTTTAAGTCGAATATATATATAGTGTATATATATATAAAAAAAAAATCAAGCTGGTCTCACCCTTTCCCCCAGGACCATAGAAAAAGGAAATGACATCAGCAAACGGCACATTGAGAAAATCTGCTCTGTCACTTCCTGATTTGAATTCGAGATTCAGCGATTTGAATTCGAGATTCAGCATCCTAGTGGGGAATGTATGTTGTTAAAGTTGCAGTAGTCTGCCTGCAAGCTGGTTCAAATGCAAGAAACTTGATTTCCTTTCTGGTCCAGCTTAGCAAGAAGCAGCCGTCGTTCTCTCAGGCTGTTAGCGGCAAGCCTTTTTTAGTTTTAATTTTTGACTCGCAATATGTGTCTCCTAAGCCTTTCCCCAGCCCCCCGAAGCCCATAAGCCTGAAAAGGTATACGTACAAGCAGAACCGCAGTGAACGCTACTTAGAAGGGAGGAAGAACGATCGAACAATGTACCTCCTGTCCTGCAGCAGCCGTGCCCGCTCAGCCTGAGTGTGAAGCATAACTGAAGGTAGTCCATGCATCTCTCCACTCGCTCGGCCCCTTGCCCCAACGCTCACCTGAAACATAAGAGGTTTTACTTTCAGACATTAGGGAACCAAAGATGGCTGTGTAGTATCTAGCGAATCCATGAACGTTTCCTTTCTTTTGCCCTGCAGATTTCATTTTGCCTGATTATTTCTGGCCCCAACCCGACCCAGTCCTCATCCCGTTCAATATAAAGACCAGATGGGCTCCAGCAAACCAAAGATTGGCCTTGAATCGATCAGCATGCAGTTACAAGTCCTAGTAACACTAGTGAAAACCACTTTTCCGCTTTCCAAAGGTCAACCGAAAGAGACGCATGTAGTTCGGCGGTCGGGTATTGTTGAGGAGTTTACGCCAGGCATCAGGATATCCAATTCGGTAGATTTACGGCATTTAAAGCGCAAAAGTCAGGGAGTTAGTGATCAATTAAGACTTGATACACTAGTGAGAAATTTATCCTCGTGTCGGCTTGAGCTGGTGGGTGTGGTGGTTGAACGTTATTGAAGTTAAACACTTTTTGAAGAATTTGCTGTTAATGAGATGGCAAAAACAACAAAAAAAGAGATTATTTTATACATGGCCTGCTGATTTTTGGTACAGTGTTTTCTAGCTAAATTATTTTGACATGCACATATAAACATTTATTATGCACTACTTTTCTAAATAATTTTTTTTTTTTTTTTTCAACAGTCATTTTAGGCACATTTTTCACAAAAATGGAAAAACTCCTTTTTGCAATACCTCAATTTTTCACATTGTGAAAGGTAGCTTTTGTACTTTTGTTACTGAGAGATCTGCATATATGGAAATTTTCATTTTAAGAGAGAAAAAAAAAAGTTGCGTGAATTTAATATATATTATTTTCAATTATGCTTTTTATACATTTCAGTGCTGAGGACTCTTTACAACTAAGCACGCACTTGCTTGTGTTGACTCGACAAATCTGCAGTGGAGAGATCAAAGTGTATTGCTTAAGGTCTTGGCTCTTGTACACTAGATTTTAATGGCAGCCCTAGATTCGGAAATGATCTGACAGCAGCATGGTAAGAACACGTTGTCGTTCATATTAATATTGCGCAAAATGGCTAAAAGATAACCTTGTCTTTTTGGTTTCCTCTCCATAGCTGGAATATAAACTTCTAATATAAGGAGAATGCTAAATCTGGTTCATGTTTAGGCTGATCCTCGTATCAAAAGAATGGATGTTTGATGTTTAGATATTTTAACATTTGAAAATATATATTCTTGAACTGCCAACTAGTTCCTATTGTAATCCTTAGCATGCATGATGAGAAAAAAAAAAAAAAAACGTACATGAATTAGCTATTGAAAATAATTGTTGTGGTTGTGCACCAGATGTTTCTAAACCTTCGTTTAAGGCCACCCCACACCCTGCACCCTTCCCATGTTATTCTTCTATGCCTTCCCCATAATCCAGTATCAATAGGATTATACACACACACAAGCGTAAAAAAAAAAAGAGAACTCTAAATGTCATTGGATGAATTTGCAGTGCAGGACGAAAGCATCTTCTTTAGAAAAGACTTGAGAACTTCATCCCCACTGTCTGTTTGAAGTAAATGAAAACCCGTTTAGAGGAAGGGGAACTTAAGACTTGAATGTGGTAAATGTTGCAAGTTAACTTGGAGTTGTTATGTGCAATACTTTTTTTGAACTTTTTCCAGATAAAGACTCTTTGCAATGTAATTCTTTAATGCCATTTTTAATTGCCGACATTTAAAGAAGATGTTAATATGTTTTTCACAGTCATTTTCTACTGTTATTGTAATCCTTTTCATGCTGGTGTTTGTAAAAAAAGAAAAGAAATCAAACTATTTGTACTAATATAAATAATTGAAGTTATTTTTAAAACATTAAAGGTTTTGTGCTCATTTGCTTATTTTGTTTATTTCAAGCTACTGTGATTGATTGCATTGTAATTATTAGGTCAACAATGTATTTAGCTGTTTATTGGTATATTTTTAATTGGAATGTATAATTAATTTTTATAATTTTGATCAGATTTTTGTTATATTTTTGAGGTGAAGCTTTTAATATGTTAAAGTGTCTAGTTTTTACTAATTGCTATATTGTGCTCCACAATATATGGTTCACATTTTCTGAAGGAAAATAAATATTTAAATATCTGTCTGTTAACGATGTTACTTAATGGCAAAATTTCAATAGTTTTTAACTGTGTATGGGAAGGTTGTTGTATTTATTAATAGCATTTTTTTACTTAAGATATCACCTTAATTTTTATTGTCATTTCACTTTATAAGTTCCTATTTTTGTATTTTTCTTTCTAATTAAGTTATGTTATACGAAATGTCCATATTCTAGGAGTTGGTCTGTAAGTGCTAGTGAAACAAAAAGAAAAATCTAATGTTATTTAATTGTTTGCAGCCAACTATTTATAACAATATGCATAATTTTTAAATATTTGTAATGTGAAATGTTGAATGAATAAAACTTAACTGTGACAAGACGCTGACTCTTGTATTTCTTGCATTAAGTGCATTATTAGTGATTAAAAGACTCTAAATATTCTCCCGCTTGTAGATTCTGGCAGATGCTACTCTGAATTCACTTGATTTTTTTTCTGTGGTCCACAGCTCAAATGAATCATAATGACCAGTGTGAATTCTGCAGTGTAATCCAACCTCTGGATTTTCAGCCAGATGTCTGCCACACTTTTACATAAAATTTTTTTTTTTTTAAATACACATTTTATCAATGTATATTGCTTTAGAAAACCGGGTGTAGTTCTAAATACATCAGAAGCTATTTATTTTGTTTTTACATCATTAGGTTTTATGTTCTGATTTATTGTTCTCGGTGGCACCACCAGCTGTCTCTGAATGTATTTCTTGCATTAAGTGCATTATCAGTGATTAAAAGACTCTAGATATTCTCTCGCTTGTAGATTCTGGCAGATGCTACTCTGAATTCACTTGATTTTTTTTCTGTGGTCCACAGCTCAAATGAATCATAATGACCAGTGTGAATTCTGCAGTGTAATCCAACCTCTGGATTTTCAGCCAGATGTCTGCCACACTTTTACATTTAAATTTTTTTTTTTTAAATACACATTTTATCAATGTATATTGCCTTAGAAAACCGGGTGTAGTTCTAAATACATCAGAAGCTATTTATTTAGTTTTTACATCATTAGGTTTTATGTTCTGATTTATTGTTCTCAGTGGCACCACCAGCTGTCTCTGAATGCTTCTATTGGAAATGTAGTTCTTGGTTACTTGATCTTGTAAGCACTTTATCTGGTCTTTGGATTATATTTCTTTGTCTAAGTCGTTTTGATGTAAATCCATTTTCTTAACACTTCTGTTCATATTCACATAAACCATATTTAAACCTGCAGTCCTTAACTTTTTTTGGTTAAAAATTATCCGAAATCAATATTTGAGCAAGTACATTGCCAGCCAGCCAAAAATATCGCCTTACTTTAGCCCGATTCACAACGGTTAGTTTACAATAATGTTTTCTAATTTGAGTGGTGCGGGTAGGTTTTCGCGGGAAATTACGTCATTACGTCACGTCTGTAAACGTAAAGAAGTTATCCCGGCTACTAGGCTAGTGTGTAGTCAGGTCACAGTCTAATTATTTATTTCCCATGAGACTGTGGGACAGGAAATGTAGATCACGGTGGTTCACTGGTGAGAGGTTTCAATCACAGAACTCATTTGGATGATAAAACAGAGTGATTATCAGTTGAAGCTGTGCATGACGTGTGACATCAATGCCACACCCTTTAGCAGGAATTACATGATTAAGCCTGCATATTTTTGCTGGCATCCCAAAGAAGCACACATCAGCATACTTTTAAAAAGAAAATGGAAATAACATTTTGATGAAGATAGCTTCTGAATGTAATTAAGTGGTTTTGGACACTTAATTGCATGTCATCTGCATTTAAATGAAAATGTATTAGTTTACATTTATATTAAATGCAATTAGCTGAACTTAAGAGTGTTTTTTTTTCTCCAACCCACTTCTTTATATGTGGGTCAAAGACGTTAAGATGTCCACTTATGTAAAAATTCAAACAACATGCTTATTCTGACTTGTACATATTCAAATATATAAAAGAATAAGGGAGCATATTACATTTTATTGTGTTTTAAATGAGTACAAAATTCTTACTGACAAATGGGCAAAACCTAGGATAGTGGCAAATTTTAAAAATGTAAAATTACAATTAATTAGTATTTGGGGTTTAAGTAATTAGTCTTTTAATATGTCATAAATTTATTTTTTTGTTGTAAATATGCCTGACAAGATTATTACACTGAATGACATTTTAGTTGGGTGTCTTCTGTAAATCATGGAAAAATGTATGATATTTATTTTTTTGCTCGGAAAAACAAAAACAAAATTTCAATTAAATTAAACAGAAAACTTTTAAAATATTTTTTGGGAAAACAGCAACAATTTAAAGCAGTATTACACTTATTGTTTTTATGCTTAAACCCTTTTTCGACCTTTGCCCCATGTACATAATTTCACTACTTTGTCTTTGAAATGTGGTTAACCTACTGTCAAGCATTTATGGTCAATTAAAATATATATAATTTCAGTTGAAACTTGAATGTCATGTACTTCAATGTATTTGTAATTACACATTTGTAATGATGAAGTTGCAATTATACACTTTAAATGTGATATATACATATAATTTGAAGTACACTTAAAAACATTAGATTTACACTACAAGGACATTCAATACAGTTAAGTGCACTTCTTATAGTGATAGTGTGTTTGTGTAGTGTGTAAAAACGTGTGTAAAATGAATGTTGGTGTGTTACACCCCATCCTCCTTAAATCGAGATGGGTGCCTTCAGTGCTATGCATGACCAAATGTATCATTTATTCGTTCAGTGGCAGGCATCATAAATATAATACTTCACGCCCTCTCGTGGCTGGAGATTAAATTGACAGGGTATATAAGCAAATTACTTTAAAAAGTACTGAAACCCCTTGTAGTAAGCTATCCGTTAGTATTCCAAAAAAACATTTGGTAATGTTGCTTTGTTGGCGCACAATTATTTATTTAGCATTGGTGTCTTTTTTCGTAATGGTATTGTCACATACCTCCACTCCCTTCCCCCATAATAATAATAATAAAGAATATAATCCTTATATACCTTACAAAAAGTAACCATGGTTTTACTACAAATGAAAAAACAAAACAACAACAACAACAAAACATGGTTACAATAGTTTACCACAAATTAATCATGGTTTTGATACACCAGCACCTAGGGGTGATTTTGATGATCTGTGTGCCAACATGCAGGCCAGTAATATTGCAAGTAATATTCTTTCTTATTTATATCAAACATTTTTGTTTTCTAATATACAACCTTGACATTAGCCCCTTTCACACAGTAATACAATAGCCTAAATTGCCGTAAAATTACCGGAACGACTTTACCAGTACATACAAAAATTCACAGGCAACGACATTCCATCGTTTTTTCCGGTAAAGCACCATTCACACATAAATTTCAAAATACCGGTAAATTCTGTGAAATCATTGACTGGAAATGACCTCTAAGGGTGTTGTGTTTGTAAACATGGAGGGGTAGGCCTATATGCAGTCAGTGTTTTTGTTGATGGTTTAATTTTTTTTGTCAAAAGTTCACATTCATGCAGCTGCTTTTGGCCCAGAGTCTTAGATGACTTTAGACATTTCTTTGACTTTCCTAAACAGCGTGGTAGTAAATGCGTCATCTGCGTCAGAATGTTGGTCATCTTCAGCGCGCGCAGCTCAAAACAGAAATGCAGAACATTAATAACTACTGTCATATACATAACGTTATAATGAGGACACTATTGTAAAAAATTTTGTGAATTCTTAGGGTTTCGCTGACGTTTAATGTTAACTATCTTTTAATCAAAACATAATACATTATTTACCCAGTTTGTATCTGCGAGGCATCTGTTACACATTTTCCCTGTGTGTTAACCTCAGTAATTATGACTGTCGAATGTCTGACTTGACTCTTGGTAATGTATTTGGCCCTGCCCCCAAAACATATGATTCGACAGTCGAATATCGGCAAGATTTGAAAATTCCGATTCGACTATGAAAATCCTTAGTCGGGGACACCCCTACTGATTTCATTTGCTTGGTAAAAGACCTACAGTGTCTTATTATTTTAAGTGAAATTACTAATACAATGTAGGAATTTGATATGAAAGATGGTGCAGGCATTTATTAAGGTTAGGGAGAAATGTCATTTATATAGGCAAAAAATTACCTGGAAATCTATTTAAATAAATGTAGTATGCAGTAACTTCATAGTCATATAAAATGTAATTTCCCAACAACAAAATTGTGGCCAATGAAAATGCTGATTCACTGAGTAATTTGGATAACCACTAGCCAGTAGCCACAGTGGGTAGTGAGCAGAAAAAGTTGTCAAGCGTGTATACAGTGAATATTTGTATTTATTAGCCCTTGTCCGGCAAGCGTGTATACAGTGAATATTTGTATTTATTAACCCTTGTCCGGCAGCCATATCACCCTGTAGGGTGTTTAACCGGAGGAAGGTGGTGGGGGTGCTTGACAGGTGTCAAACACTAGAAAGGGGTGCACGCTGCAAAAAGTTTGGAACCACTGTTTAACCATGGTATGTGGCAAAACTGTGGTTATAGCCTACGAATAGTAATCAATGCTCCAATATCAAAAGCGTCTTTTATCGCAATGATGTTGCTTTTTTTTTTTAAGAAAATACTTCTTGGTAAAATCAATAATCCACAAAAAGCTGTCTAACTCCCTAACCCTTGGTAAAATCACTGTAATGGTCATTATTGTTTAGCTATATAAAACAAAAATTCACAATGATAAAATGTTCCATTTAGGCCTAATTTAACATAGATTAAATTTAAATCTATTAGTTAGTATATCCATTAATTAGATTAAAGATTAGCAACGTGGCGAATTAACAAGTTTCTTAGCTGCTTACAGACATGTTCAAAATTTAGAACCGGAACTATAGGCTAACTATAGCCTGTTCTAAAGACTGTTCTTGTCATACTGCTTTATTTGGCAAATAAAATGTTGATATACCCTAAATGAAAATGCTACTGCACTTCTCTCAGTTTTTCACTAGATGGCAAACAAGTCAGCTGGCGTGGGTAGGTATTGAGCTTCAGGGTTTGTAAGGGTCGGGCAAAACAAATGTAGGGTTTCTTTTAGATCCCCCCTAGTGGTTTGAGTGTAAGTGAGGGTTTGGATGCTGCGTGAGGCCGCCAGTATCTGCATCTCTCGCATCAGCGCCACGCACACACACACACACACACACACACACACACAGCATCTCCATCTCGACTCTCCACCTGCCCTCATCAACAAGCCGAATTTAAACTGTCTTTGAGGCCGTTTAAAGCGTGAAAGTTGACCGCGTTCGGTGAGTACGTGTTTAAAAAACATCTTTTCATCTGGCGCCTGTTGTGTTTGGGTGGGAGATAAATTGTTGTGACTGGTAAACCAGCCCTAAAAGGGGCGCGGATGCTTTATTTGCTCTGTGGCTGATGTTTCGGCACCTGGATTTTAGGCAATATAGTTAAACGGTGCAGCGTTTTTTCTCTTTCATCTTAAAGATCAGTGCACAATCCTTTACTTGTATTTACAAGCGCAGCGTTTGTGTATTTTCAAGCATTCGCGTTCGGGTTGACATCAGACAGACACGCGTGGGGTGTTTACCAAATGCTTTTATTAATAATGTGTGATGTGGCTTTCCATGGTTTATTGATGTGCCAGAGGTGTATACGCGTGGGGTGTTTACCAAATGCTTTTATTAATAATGTGTGATGTGGCTTTCCATGGTTTATTGATGTGCCAGAGGTGTATATATTTTTTGTTTTATTAATAAGGTGTGATGTGGCTTTCCATGGTTTATTGATGTGCCAGAGGTGTATATATTTTTTGTTTTATTATTAAAGGTGGTCGATATTTGACTTGGAGCCAGGCTGGAATATTTTAAAACTGTTTATAAAATCCTCTTCGTTTATAGGCTGGTGAAAAGTGAAATAATCCTTAAAAGATGGTTAAACTGGGGAGTAATCTACAAGACAAAGGAGCAAAAGCTGTTAGCGTGGAGGATGGCTTTCAGAACGTCCCGCTCATCACGCCCTTGGATGTTACTAATCTTCAGTACCAAGCCCCAGACAAGGTAAGGAACATTGTTCTTCAGATCTTATATAACAGGACATTACCATGCCTCTTGTCAGGTCAGAAAAATATAACCTTCACCTATTGTCATTTTCAAACGGTACTAGTGCCTAGAAAGCATAATGATGTATTAACCCTGTGTGTTAAATTGTTAGGCTGTTTTTTTTTATTACACTATCCTTTGATTTTATATTTTGAGTATGTAAATACATTTACAACAATTTTATTTATGAGTGCTTGTATTTATTTAATATTATAAGCTTTCAATGTTTCCCCCAAACATGTCGGTACATTCCTCGGCTTTTAAGGTTGGGTTGCCAACCAGTGTGCCTTAGGGTGTGAGCTGTGACACTTTCTGTGAGTGGTGCTTTAGCCCTCATTTTGGGATTCTGCGGAGGAAGGCGCAATCATTCTTTGCACCTGCTAACTGAAGTGGCCTGTCACTCTGCCCAAACCTGTGCACAAGCCAGTCACTAAAGCGAACATCGTCATATTTTAAGGAGCATGCAACCCCCCTCTCCCCACGTCCACCCCCCTCCCCAGTCCTTTGGGACTCTAAGGCTTTATTAGCCTGCATGACAAAGAGAAATGGCAGTTTATCTTTTATCTCAGATGTCATATGGAGGCTGCATCCTCTGTTTAATGCCAGCTCAGAGCTGAAGAGGATGTGTTGGATTATTAACATGTCTATGTCACCGGGTGAGCATTTTTTCTTCTTTTGTGAAAGCTAGATGACTCTTAGAGACTATGCATTAGTAAACAGGCAAAATTGTGGTTTTATGTATATTTGTGTAATGAAAACATGTTGTAAATATAATATTTATATTATTTTACAGCTTCGTTTTTTGGTAGGCAAGAATTACTATATGAAGAGGATAAAAGCAAAAAATACTGGTTTTATTATTTTTTTTCTTAGACGACCATATATCCAATGGTTGCTGAAGAGATCTTGGATAAGGTCAGTTAATGTTTATCAGATGTGTGCTCTGTAAGGCCTTACAGGACAATGATCCCGCCCTGCTTACATGACATAATACTTTAATATAGGTATTATTTAATTAACAATAATGAGGTTGTAATTATGAAATTTTCTTATAAATAAGATGAAAGAGAAGAGTAATTTAATAGAATAATAGCCCTGAGCCTCAGTCGGAAAGATGACCGAATTTGTCCTGTACAAATTATTTGAAAGCATTTGTTCAATCAAATACGCCCAATTATATTTTGAAAAGAAAATCACTAATCATAGCTTCCTGTATAATGTCAGTCAGTAGTGCAGGAGTATACAGATGCAAAGGCTGTTGATAAACCTAATGATAAGAATATATATATGTATATTATAATTGAATTAATAATGCTGAAGCCAACGTGGTACTTAAATGACCAACATAATACTTCTGAGATTGTAAGAATCAAAAGTAAAAAAAAAAAAAAAAATTGATTGGAAGGTCGAAAGCAAATTAGAGTTATTTTTAGCATCTGAAGTTGCTGTAATGCATGCACTTGATGCAGTTCTGTCACCTTGACCAACTTGGACAATGTAAAAACCAATAATTTTTCATGCTGACACTAAAATCTTTAAGCAGGACAAGGATCAGCCCTGCATGAAATCATTATCTTTCTCTAGAGGTCTGCAGATAGCAATCAGGCAGTAATGACTGCAAATTATTTGAAAGCTGTCTTAGCATTATTTATTATACATGAGCCAAGTTAAGAACAAGCTTTAGTTTATTTACTGTAATGAGGTGTGTAAATTCATTACATGGATACAATAATGAGTTTTTGTCAGTTATTTTGACACCATTGCTGAAGAACAAAAAAATGGATTTTTTTATATTTCAGACATAATGTTGCAAGGATGCGTTTAGTTTTGGGACCACTGCAGATGCTCTTTTAAATTTTTTTCAGCTTTTAAAACTTTCTCAAGGGGACTTACATATGGAAACATTTGGCCAGGTTGTCTTCCAGAATCTCGAAACCATTCCATTATCATCAGACTACCAAATTCATCTTATGCTAATTGCATGCAAATAACAAGCTGCATGTCATCACAATCTCATCATTATTCAAAGCATTTTATAATCAAGTAGGTTTTCATATCAGCATATCAGTACAACACTTATATTGGAGAGGAAAAATCCAGTCCGATCCACAGTAGACCCTGATGTTGACACTATCCATGGCTTGAATCAGCAGCAAAAAAGACAATGAGCAACCTTGCCTGGAGGCAGAAGTTGCATTCTGGGTGAGTGCAGAAATGGAATTAAAATTCCAGCGATACCAGAGTGCCTCATTTAAAAGGAGAGAGAAATGGAAACAGACAAGATGGTTATTCAGGGGGGAAATGAAATGTCAGAGGGTTTGAGAAGGAGACAGATAAGCAGTAATTGCAGAGTTCATGACAAGTGGTTGAGCTTCATTCAGTGGTCTACAGGGCACTAGAATTGATCTCAGGGTTTGTAGAAATCAAGGTGGCAAGAACCGAGGTCAACACTGAGACGTAATCATCTAGAGGTGTCACTCCTCCATCTGTCATCACGCATCTCACCTTCAGAGAGGGTTGGGCAAAATTTGAGTCTCAAATTTGCTCCCTCTCAGTTCATTAGTTGGAATTTAATTTGAATGACAGGATTGGGAAAAAATTTTTTTTGGCATATCCAACTCAAATCCGCTTGAAATTTGAACTCATTTAAATCCTATCTAAACCACATACTCATGTGGTTTGAAACCAATTTTTGATAATCAGTTTGTATTTCAAGTATGTTTTTTTAACATCTGGCATGCAATGTGATTTACCCAGTCTGATTTGCCAGAACTGAGTGCTGTTGTGGGAATATGCTTTGATTTTGGTAAGGCCAATTATGACAACGTTACTGGAAGTCCTGGTTATCTCAGAGTGTCTGTGAGATCAGTGATTTTGAGCAATTTTAAGAACCAGCATGAAGTTTTATCATGAGGAAGGCCTAACATAATTATGGTCATTATCGTTTGGAAGTTACTGGCTTTATGGTACAGTTATCAAACCCTCAGGGAATTTACTGTTTACATTAAAGGGTTAGTTCACCCCAAAATGAAAATTCTGTCATTAATTACTCACCCTCATGTCGTTCCAAACCCGTAAGACCTTCGTTCATCTTCGGAACACAAATTAAGATATTTTTGATGAAATGTGAGAGCTCTCAGACCCTGCATAGACAGCAACGCAACTGTAATGTTCCCAGGTACAGAAACGTAGTAAGGACATCGGTAAAACAGTCCATGTGACATCAGTGGCTCAACTTCAGTTTTGCGAAGCTACGAGAATGCTTTTTAAGCGCAAAGAAAACAAAAATAACAATTTATTTAACAATTCTTCTCCCCCGAGTTACGTCTTCCGCTATTTTGGAGAGTACCCAAGAGCGTAATCGATGTAATCAGCATTGTTTATGCTTAGGGGAAAGCGTGCGTATGTGTTGTGATACTCTAAAATGGCGGAAGACATAACTCGGTGGAGAAGAATTGTTGAATAAATTATGTTTTTTTTTGTTTTCTTTCCCTCAAAAAGTATTTTCGTAGCTTTGCAAAACTGAAGTTGAGCCACTGATGTCACATGGACTGTTTTACCGATGTCCTTACTAAGTTTTTGGACCTGGGGACATTACAGTTGCGTTGCTGTCTATGCAGGGTCTGAGAGCTCTCACATTTCATCAAAAATATCTTAATTTGTGTTCCAAAGATGGACGAAGGTCTTACGGGTTTGGAACGACATGAGAGTGAGTAATTAATGACAGAATTTTCATTTTTGGGTGAACTATCCCTTTAAGTCAAACTATTGTTTTGATGGAGAAACACTGTCTTTGCAGGTGGTGGTGAAGACACGAACTGAGTATCAGACAGAACAGAAGAACAAGGCCAAGATGAAGGTTCCAAATGTGGAGGAGTTCACCATCAGTGTGACTGATGGAGTGTCTGAAAGGCTGAAGGTATGGCTGGACTTCCTTTGGTGTGAATTCATAGAAAGAAATTGAATGTTGAACAATCGGTGTACAATGATATGTTTGCCCTCAGCTCTGTCAGTATTTAAATTGGCTTTGGTGGCTTTGCTGTCCATTCACTTGCGGAAGAAACATAATGGCTGGTCTGCAAATGTTATGGGTGTTGGTCCCCAGAATGGGATTCACTGGAAAACCGGATTCACCAGTAAAAACAGTTCAAAAAAGAGCCCATAACAGCATGGATATTCATGCTGGTCTAAGAAATGTTTCGTTGATTGACTTCCTTCTTAAATGACTCTGAATGAACCTGTCAGCTGCCTCGGAACCACAAGGCACTATGAAAACATTAACTTTGACATACACCGAATATTTTCCACAGACACAATCTAGATGTTCTAGTCTGAGATCATCCTTTAACTTTCTGTTTGTTATTTTTTGAGGTACTGAAGGAAACATATCGGAGTGTTCTTGTAAGAGCATGTTGTAGGAAACTCTTTTTGAGGTTGTTGTCTAGAACGAGTCATTCGGAGTACAGAAAGCTAACTGCATGGTTATCTCTGCTGTGTGAAGCCTCGCAGTTGGATTTTTATCCTATTCCCTGCTGTAGCTCCACCAGCAAGTAAAGAAGGAATGTTCCCCCTCATTAAATGTTCAAAACAAAAGAGAGTTGTGGTCTCTTGGTGTCTTATGCAGCCAAGTGGAACATATTAACATATCATGTTAAAATACATGTGGTATTAAGACAGGGAGGAGGTCTTATGATTTCTGTTTGATATTAGTGTAGTTGGCTGGGAGGTTTGGCAGAGAAAATGTGGGGGAAAGGATGAGTTTGGCTCTGATTTCCCAACTATACTAAGTGTCACATATTTACTAAACACATTAGTATGTATTTTATTGTTGTTCAAAAATAATGGCATAACTACTAATCTTATATTATATCTGTGTTACATAGCAGAAAAGAGTATTCAGTGGGAAAAAAAGTTTGGACAGGGCTTGATTATATCCAGTAGGATTTCAGTGGATCGTGAGAATAGGCTGTGATAGTTGTTTGTAGAGCTTGCTAAGTGTAATCCCTAATTCTAGGTATTTAATTTTTTTTAAGACTTACTTAGAAATCAGTAAGAATACTTACAGATTTTAACCTGGTGAACATGAGTTTAACATTTTAACACAATAAAACTGCCAAAAATACCTTAGATCCATTATATTCAAAGAGGGAACCAAACTTTTTTTTCTGAATTTGGTGGGCTCTTTTGGCTTGGGGCAATAGGCAACTACCTAAACTCCTAACAACTGAATTGCAACATGATAACAACCACGAACACAAGCTAGCAACAAAATCTTGCTGGTTAATATTATTTTTCCATGTCCATGTAGCATTGGTTGCAAAATCAGAAACGTTGTTACCGAAATGGATTGCTTTTACATTTACATTTATATTTACATTTATATTTTTACATTTGTGCTCAATAAGCTTTTAAAAGACTGATGTTACAGACTAGCACACACATTCTTAGAAAAGATAACTTGTCAAACTCCAGGAATACAAACCCTAATGTAAATTGTGCTGTGCATTTATGAATTTTGTTTTATAAATGTATTATTTTTGAGGCCGATCTGGCTCCATACTGCAGAACCTTCAGGCAGTGCTGCAAACCAATTAATAATCTGCCTGAAAATAATAAAGCTTCTTAATGGAGAGTGTATGCACACACAAAGACACACAAATTCTCATGCACAGTGCAAAACAGATACCCAGCTAATCCTTAGACGTGGCTGCACAATCCTCAGTTCAGACACACATCCCATAGCTGAGTGGATGTCAAGCCGACAACAGACATGAGGGACGGGAAAAGAGGATAGAAAAAATAGAGGACATTGAGCTGAAATGCTGCCCCGTCAGTCTTGGCATCTCTGGGAGAGCAGCAGAATAAGAATGAAGGAGAGGCGTTGGGTGAGCGGCAGACGTGTTCGCTTGAAGGACCACTCACACCCTGGCACACCAACACTGCACTGCCTAGGCCCTTCGGCTCTTGTTTAGCCTACCATTTTACCATCTCCAGAGAGAAAATGGGAGGGAACAAGAAATAAAAAAGAGGGTGAAAGACTGCTTCACTGGAGGCAGCTAGTCAGATTTACGTTGTAATGCCATGATGCTATGTCCAAAAAACATGGTAATATCATGGCAGTTTTTATTTTGGCTAGTGTGAAAATTTTCATATCCATGAAATTTGCATGGTACTCCAAGATAATTCAAATAATACTACTGTTACCATAATACATACCCAAAAGTCCATGGTAATACCATGGTAATTTTTGTTACCTTTTGGTTAGTGTGAAGCCAGTTGATTACCATATTTATGTACCATGGTACTCCAATAATGCCATGGTAGTACATGTGCAACAAGGAAATATTTACTGGAATATTTATTCAAATCAGTACTTTCCTTAAAGAACATTTAGCAAATGTCTTCTGTCCCTTTAAAGAACTTTTTTTATGTGAAATTCTGCAAGCGTTCAAGCTGAAATGCCTTTGTTGGTGCAGCGTAACTCATCCTGTCATTGACAGAAAGGAGACCGCCATGCAGAGAGATGCATTTGAGGGCACACAGTCCACTTTTGTATAACGCTGCCAATCCATTCTCCCTAGTCATGCAGTAAATTGTCACTGGCCGTTCGTTCGATGACAAAATAAAGTACCCAATCATGTGGGAGTGCCAGGAGACAGAGACGATTGTCACCCACCCTGAATTCAGGAGACCATGCTATGCTCAGTTATGCTGAATTGCTTGTATCGTCCCCCTACGGATGATGGCCATTCATTGAATTTGACAAATCGTTTGCTTGGGCAAAACCATATGTTGTCAAGCAGCGACCCCGGGAAACGCAGAGGGCAGTCACTGTCAGAGTGATTGATCGTGTGGAGTGATGGTGATTATAGTCTACAAAGGCAAGCTGGAAACACTAAGCCCCCGGTTTTTACATGTTGTCTCCACTACACTGCCAACCAAAAAATATGTAGAATGTTACTAAATATTTGATTTACAAAAATTAAAATCCTGTCATGGAACTTGCTTTCATGTGTTCCTTTTTTTAACTTTTTTTTTTTTAACAGTAACAGTCAATGAGGCCCAAAAGTTTCAGGCTTCAAAAAGGACATGCAAGTAGTATAAAAGTATTCTTAACAACTGAAAGGTTCTTCAAATTTTTGCTTTTTTTTCTTACACAGAATATCCATACAATGGATTGACATGAGGGTGAGTAATGGCGACATAATTTACATTTTTGGGTGAACAATCCATTTAAGATTCTATCATTGAAAAACCCATATTGATTTTGGACACTCTGTCTAGAATTCTCTGCTTCAACCAGTATATGTCATAAAATGGCCAGTATTACATCACACATATCTTGTATGTGCCATTGTCATATTCTGTGAAGTCAGAGACATCGTTAGAGTTGAATGAAAAGCTTAGGCAATTTACTGGAGTCATTTGTCACGTTAAAATGCGACAGTGTATTTGAACTCCTGCGGGAAGCAACTTTTCTCTGTTCACAACGACAGAGATGATTTATGACACCAGATGGCTTTTCCTCTGTTTGAACCCTGATTAATCTCACCTTCCACCACTGCTGGAGAATCACATTCATCTCTTTTGTCTATAGCTTTGCAGAAAGAAATATCACACACTTATTGACGTAGACAGTTAGCACGTTTACATGCTTGGCCTAGTAACTCGGCATTGTGCAAGTTAACATATGCCTTTTTTAATTTATTTTTTTTAACGGTTACAGACTTAAGACTTCAAGAAGGTTATAAATGTCTACACCAAAAACTGATTGGCACACAGAGAGTTTTGTCCATTACGCTTGGCATGCAAACATCTCTTTCTGGGTGCTGATGGATTTTTCAGTGTGTGCATATTGTGATGTAAACTGTAGAAATATCTGATTGTTTTAAATCTAAACTCAGTTTTGTATTGCATTGTCAGGTTTTTAGAATAACCCATTTTTGACAGTTGGCAGTGTATTGTTTTGCATGAAAGCTGTAGGACATTTTTTTTTTGGCCCATGGTGCCTGGTGTCAGAGGTGTGGTTAAGGTTGAGCAAGATTTCCCACCCAATAGGAATTCAGCAAAACTGAATTTTTAAATTAGAGCATTTACATTTTTTTATTGTTAAATATAAGCTGTTTCAGTGTCTACGTGCCTGTCAATATAATATATATATAATAAAATAAATGCATTTTTTATTACTTATTAATTTCATTGACATCTGTTTTGTTATAATATATATTTTGTTGTTCTAGACATGGAAATAATTAAATGTACTACCACTTTTTGCAATGGCTGATTTTGCCATTTTGCCTACCCCTCACAGAAAACTACTGGCAATTTTTTAATTTCATAAAACACCATTTAGTATGTTTTTAAGCCTTTTGGTTTATGGGGACACAGGCAGCGTCCTCATAAACCATTTTTATGCTGTAGTACCTGCATGTCATTATACACATTATACACATCCTCATAAACCATATATACCAGAACACACACACACACACACACACACACGCACGCACCCGCACATTACACTTCAGCAACAGAGTTTTACTCACCAGTTGAGCAAGTTCAGCATAATGTTAACACACTGTGAGCTCGCACAGAGCTATGACTAATGATTCTGGATTGTGTCCACGCTATAGTGTGATCTGATACAAAATGCTAATCACTTTCTCTTGAGTTACACACTTCCTGTATGTGCCTGTTTACCCAGATAAAAGATGCATTTGAATACCAGACATTATTACTTAGTTAATTAATAGACGAAAGAGTGAATCTTGCCGAAACAGTCAAGAAAATGTCCTTGTCATATTTCACTCTAAAATCAAAAGGAAGTTTTGATTAAAAAATACACTATATTCTTTGAAGCCATATGACATCATACATTTTGAGAGCCTTCATTTCTTTTTCGTTATGATACAACTTTAC